AAAAAAAAAAAAAAAAAAAAAAAAAAAAAATCAACAACAAAAAAACTACTCCCCAAACCTACTGAAAAGTCTTTATTCAGGGGCCACAAATACAAGATAATGCAATTGTACACCAGAATCAGAGTGTTAGAAGTGAGAAAAACCAGAGAGAAGGAGGTTTCTCAATTAAAAATAAAATTGCTGAAGTGAAGACCATTGAGAGAGTTGGAAAAGAGCAAGGAAATTTCAGGAGGCGACAGATGCCGTCCTGGGGCTTGTACCTCAAAGAGCAAACCAGGCAATGGACAGAGAGACACAAGCAAAGAGGCTGGGATATCCCCACCAGAGGGCACACACCCCAGAGAGCTGGGGTGGAGACCATCTGCCAAGGGCTGCATTTTGAGGAATCTTCTAGAGATTAGAGCACCAAGGGGACACCTCCAGGGCCGAGCAGCCACAAACTGCTCAGGTGTGAGGTAGCAGTCATTTTCCCTGACTTCTAAGCCAGGGGTACAGGGCTCTCAAGGTGAGATGAGCCAGAGAGGGGATTTGGGGCTCATAAGGAAGAAGAAAGGTGGCTTCCTGATATGCTATATCATCTCTCATAGAGTCCTTGGAAATTTCTTTATGGTTGTAGGACCCAGCACAGCTCCTCCAGTGTTTAGAAATAGCACACACAGGTAGTAGTGAGGGAGAAGCTAGGGAAGACAGTGGATGTGTGGTGTGGCCTTTCAGCCCAGGCCCACTGCTCCCTGTGAAGTTTGTACCGGATCTGTACCTTCTCCTGGTGAAGGTCACACTACCCCTACCCTCATCCCAGTCTCACCCTCCTCCTCACTGTGAGGCTCACACGCCCCAGCTCCTCTGAGTTCACACAGTGCAACACGCTCCTGACAATTCCTGTTTCTCCACCGCAGGCCTTTGTGAAGTGCTGAGGTAATATGGCAGACCATTTCAGTGAGCCCGAAGTCTCAAATTCTGTCTGCAGGTCTTGACATCCAGGTCTCCTGGGACCTATAGGGGGAGCCCTGAAGTTGCCTTTCTCAGCTCTAGGGGTACATTTGACAAATGAAAGTTGTATGTATTCAAGACAGCTGTATGTTTTGATTTATGTCTGATCTGTGGGACAATCACCACAGCCCAGCTGCTGGGTGCACCATCTACGCACACAGCTCCTGGTTTTTACCGAGTACAGCTTGTGACCTTATTTGCACTAAAAGCAGCCGACCCTCCCTCCTTAGCACTCCAGGTCTGGAGGGGCAGTGGGCAGCCCTGATGCTCTTTTGATCACCACCATCCTTTCAATTATCCAAATTGGCCAGGGGGTTGGTTGCCTGATTCTGCCAATGTCCCTCCTTTCATGTCCTCCCTCTGCCATCGCCACTTGTCTATGACATCACCGTCTCTAGTAATCTGCCCGGGGCTCAGGCATCCATACGGCACTGCACACAGGCTGGTTCTGGGTAGGCCTGTGGCAACGGTCTGGGGTCTCTGAGCCTTCACTGTCTATTCTGTGGTGGCCTCTCCTGCCAAGAAGCCCTTCTCTGACTTGCCCCTTCCAGTTAGGACCAAGACTGACTGTCTTTCCCCTGCGTCTGAAGGGCACCTGTCCATCTTCAAGGCCAACCTTGATGCACTCAGGAACCGACTCTCATCTGCTCAGAGGTCCAGGCTACTCCCTCCTTCTATCCAAACAGTTGTAAGGGTACCTGCAACGCAGCAGCCATACCACAGACCTGTGGCTTCTGGGGGACAGATGGGTCTCATAGCTGTGCTGGCAGTCATCTGTCTTCAAGGACTTCGGGAACTGAAACTGCCACTCCTTTACAGAGGTTTCAGAGCCTCCTAGTGACGTGGACAGGAAGGGAAAGTGATTTTGCACAAGGTTTTCAGCAAGGTCAATATCATTTATTTTATTCCTTCTAAATTAGCCCTCCCAGCTGAAAGTCTTTGCAAGGACATTGTGGACAGATTCAGATGGATCAATGTGCCCCTCTCTCTGTGCCCTCCAGTGTACTCTGGGCTCTCATCCAGATGCCAGGGCCTGGTGCGAGCACTGAGCTGGTGGACACTGGGAGCATGGACAGGGGTCCTGGGCATGGCCACTGTGTAGGTCTGTTCCCAAGCACCCCCAGCTCTCCAACTTGGAGTGATACCAAAGCCGGTTTTGAGTGGGTTCCCTGTGGCAGCCTCTGTTCTCAGACTCTGAGGAGGCTAGAGGGGAACAGAGCTCTCTGGTTACATGGCAGCCTTGGGAGGTCAGGATGAGGGAGGTCACCACCTCTGCTTTCAAAAATGCCTGCGGCCTCACATTCAACGACGACCCCATTGTGACTTCAGCCTGTTCAGGGGGACATTCTCATGAAGGGTCTTCTCATAGCTTACCCCTGAAGCCACAGATCCTTTAACCCTCTGAGTGGGATCCGTCCCTCCTTGGGTCCTGTGTGGGAGTTCACTGATGAATGAGCACTGCCCATCCATCCTCCTTCCTCCTTCTACTACCCCCACTCAAGCAGCCCTGCCCATCTGTGCTGGGCACTGTGACCCCTTTGTCTCGGGGCTGCAGGCTGACAGGAGCCTGGAAATGTCCTCTTCATATCACATTGCTGACCCCATGGGGTGGGGAGAGCGCAAGAGGCCACTGCTTTCAGGGTTGTATTGCTTCTGTGTGCCTGAGCATGATGGTGTGGCCCTAAGTGCTTGAGGCTCCGTGGAGAAGCTGCGCTGGCCTCAGCTGTGCTGTTTAACCTTCTCCACCCTCCCACCTGCTAGATTGACACAAGCATCGCAGATGGGGCGTCACAGGTGGCAGGAGTAACAGGCAGGCCTTAGAAGTGGCTTCTGCTGCAGAGAACCCACCAGGAGTGGGAAGAGGGGAACTCAGGAATACACAGGCAGTTTGGCCAAGGTCACAGGGCAGGCAGCGCAGCGCCCCAAGGCCAGACCCTGGCCCCATTCCCAGCCCTTCCTGCCCCACCAGAAATAGCATGTTGCAGATCTGGTAAAACAGCTCCAGCCCACCTGTGGCCAGTCACAGAAGATTCATAGTTTGAGTATGTATGATCCA